TGAAACTTACAGGATGAAACCCTTTGCGGCAATTTTCTTCGTGATATCCTGCAGAAGGCTAAAAGTTCAGTAGAATGACCATAATTCGTGAAGAAAAGTTTAATGATACAAACTCTTTCATGATTCTCAGCTACCCTATGAGCTCAAACAGATATTATCAGTTGAATGGATTTCCTCGTTATGTTTAATTAATTTGTTGATAAGATTAACATAAGAATTTTGATAATAATTTTAAATTGTTCACTACAATTTTTATTTCTTAATAAACTAGATTTCATATACTGTAAGTACATTGACTACTATCAATGTACATAAAAAATTGGAACATAAGTTTATTATTATACGAAATTTTTCAAATAAAAGATTCATCATGATATCAATTAAATTCAATAACAAAAAATTTAAAAAAAAATATAATAGTTTAAAATCATATCAATATTGAAAACAAAAATAAGGGAATGAAATAATGAAGACAATATAATTCAACTTATCACCATTATAATTATTTGAGCGAGATTGAAATAAATTATTTCTATCGAATTTTTTTATGTATAATTTTTCCATGGTTGTTATTTAGGTGTAATATAAATTCTTGTTTTACCATGACGACATTGAACAACACCACGATATGCTGTTCGAGGTACATTACTCTAGAATAGAAATATATCATTTAAGAAAATATTCATAATAAAAAAAATTAAATGAACTTGGCGCGATTAAAATTTTATTATTTTTATTTCTGTGTCGTCCATTTTTATCTGATGTCGTCATCATCATCACGATTGAATAGTATTTCGTTTTCTTCAAAACATTCAATTATTTCATTAAGTAATTTCGATACAATATCATCTCATAACAATAAGCAATTCGTTTCTTATAATAATAATAATAATAATAAAATTTTTTACAATGAAAAACAACCACCAAATATGACAACATCAGACATAAAATTTGATCGAACTATTGATCAAGCTATTGATTATTTCGAACAAATTCTTACACAATGTGTTACACCATCAAATACATCACTTATCAAAGATAATGAACAACAAGATCGTAAAAATGATATAAAATTGAAAATTGAAACTAAAAAACGTGATTGTGAAGAATTTTTAAATTCATTAAATAAAACAACAAACTTTAAAATGAAACAACGTAATCAAAAAATTGATTGTCGTAAATGGTGTGACGAACAAAATCAACGAATTACAAAATCTTATAATTTAATCGATGATAATAATAATAGAAAATATCGTTCAAAAAATCGAAATATCTATGGATCAATATTCTATTGTCGCAAAGCTCTTTTACAAAAATCTGATGGAATCACTTATATTTGTATTCGAAAACGATTTAATTAAATATTTATTTAATCATACCTTAAAATCATTCATAATTTCAAGTGTATTTGCAATAGCAACGAATTCCTTTTTATTACTATAACGTAATTGTGCACATTTCGTATCATTATTCATTTCATTTAAATCAGATAATGTTATCACAGGACAAGTATCAATACGAGCTTGAAATTCTCTATCATATCGATCCTAGGAAAAAAAAAAGTTGTTTTTCTTGTCTATTTAACAATAAAAACATAATTATTTCATTTACTTTGACAAGATAACTAAGATCAATAGTTTTCCAATCAATAGGATCAATATTTTTGATTATTTTTCTTAAATAATGATCATAAAATTGACCTCTAGAAATTGATAGAATGAAAAATGAAACAAATTTAATAAATATACATACCCACTAACACCTTTTTTACCTTCTGGTGATATACCTGTACGAGAAACTTCTGGTCGAATACATGCGCGATCACGACGTTGTTCCGGTTTTCTCATCCAATCATCCCAGAAACTATTCGTTATAGAAAAAAGAAAATTAACTTTTTTTTTTCTTAAAATCTTTTATTAAAGGAAGAGAATGTATAAAAAGTCAAATCGGCACATTACTATTTTTCTTGACCAACTCCATTCAATCACATATTAATAGAAACATTACGTTGAGACCAATATTTTAATACTAGTTTCATGAGATTTTAGTCGAATTTCGAAACCTAAAAGCTATCGAGAAAGTATCGCATTTTCAGTCATTAGATTAATATTCTATTCTATGATGTTTATAGGTCTTTCATGATGCTTCGAGTCCATATATAAATCAACAATCGATTGCTTACCTTAACAAGATATAGGTTAGATCTACTAGTAGACACTATTGGTATATTTACTGTATATATCAATGACTCTTATCTTTCAATAAATCCTATATTTTCTAAAGTCAAATAAATCTAACTATCGAAAAAATTTTCTTATCACACTCTTCTCCAGGGGCAGTTTTGTGTCTTTTAAAATCAGTGTTTAAAAGATTTTAATCAAAAAAAGAGTTCAATTTGAGTCAAAACTAATATGATATTCCGAATCAATTTAAACAAGTGAATTAGTCTATATGTGATTTAAAGAACTGCTAGAATTTTTTTTTTCGTCGAAAAATTCACTTCTGGTCCTTCTTAGGGACTAGACGAAAAATGAACTCTTTACTTTGTTGATAGCTTTTAGGTTTCAAAATTCAATCAAAACCTCATGAAACTATTACTAAAATGTTGGTCTCATTGATATACGATTCAATGAGTTTGGCCATGAAACATACTGGCGGGCGGAGTTGACCTCAAAAGTGCCTCGGTTCTTTCAACTAACGCTTTTGGCCATTTATCTTTTATTTTATTCCATACTGTCTTTGTTAATAACCAACCAAGACCAGGAAAAAAATCACTACGATGTAGAAGATCTTTTAAGAAAAACAAAAAAAAACAATGTGTCAAATGAAAAAAGAAATTTTTTTCTCACTTGCTTGACGATCAATTTTTTTATCAATACCATTATCATTCCATGCTGATATACACCAAACAGTTTTATCATATTTCAATAATGGATAAAGTGCTTGAAAATACTCAAGAAAATCAGGTGAAACTTCTAAATCATCTATAGGAGAAAATAAAACACAAACGATTGAGAATTATTTCAAATTAAATTTCATCAACCTTCAGTAATAATTATAGCCTCATAATTAAGTACATTAAGAATATGATTAAGTGAATAACCATAATGACGTGCTATTCTATAATATCCAAATAACTGCTGCTGGCCTGCAGGAACATCAAGAGGACCAAGGTCCGGTAACTAAATAGAAATCAATCATTATCGTTCGTTGAAGTTTTTTCTTGTTTTATAGCAAAGAAAATTCATACTTCAATAATTGTTTTAATTTTATCACTGAAATTTTTAGCAACTTGAATTGTTGCACTATCTTGACAATCTAAACTGATAATTATTGGATTTAATTCAGTGTTTTTTCGAATTCTAAATAAATAAAATTGATTATTTCCTTGAAAAATATCTTCCATTTATTGTACATACTTAAGCAGCGCTTCAATATGAAGTTGAAGAGCACGTGGCCGATTACAAGCAAAAACAACAATCGGTAATAAAACATCTATTTTCTATATTTCGAACAGAAAAGAAAACCAACATATAAAAACATACACAAAAAGAAAAATTTACCGGTAATAGAGACATTGATGCTGGTGAAATAATATTTGATTGTACTTTTCGACTAATTCCTCTATTGATTGGTAATTCCTCAAAAAAAAAAACATTTATCAATACAAAAATTAATTAAAATAAAATTTAGTAACAAACCACTTCATTTTTATTTGTTGATGTACGAAAACCTTTAATACTTAATAATAATATGACATTAATAAGAAAGAAAACACCGGTAGTTATAATAATTTTTGTAATAATTTTCGATCGCATATTTGCATGTCTTCCATTAACCTTGATATTTCATCATCTACAATAATTAGTTTTTTTTTTTTTGTATTTTATTCAAATAAAATCTTTACTCTTTCTCTTTTCTTTTTATTTATTGATTCTTTCTTTTTTTCGATACTTCAACGTCAAAGAAAAAGAACGTAAATTTCATTTTGTGGAACATAACCTAAAAGAAAATTTGACATATAAAAGTAAAAATTTGCACTCCACCCAGTACAGATGTAACCATGGGAACGTAGCAGATCCCGACAGACAAAATATAGGAACTTACAGACGCCTTAGCAACATTCCTTCGCGTCACACAGAGGTTGTTGATATACGATCATCGATCGTATATTGAAAGCGTCTCATAACAATAGATGAACTACTTTCTCATTGCATAATCTGAAGCATTTAATAAAAGTATAGTGAAGAAATATGTCTTAAAATCGATAGAATACAATGAGTCTACCTGTGATTAGCACTAGCGGCTACATTGTGCTTAACATTTTAATCCTGCAGGGATTGCAGTATTAGTTTTTTTCTTCTGTCAAAAGCTTATCGAGTTCTCTGCACGCTTTGATAATTTTTTAATAACAGTAAAAAAAAATAAGAATTCAGTCCAGAGGCAAACAATGCCATGTTGTTGCTGGCTTCTTTTTTATTAACCAATCAAAACAAAAACACAACAAAACAAGAACACAATTAAACATTAACACGAACTTTTTTTTTACTTCTTCCACCACTTTTTATTTTTCGTTCTTCACTATCATCAATTAATGTTGGAACATCATCATCATTGTTATTTTGTGTTGCAGCTTGTTTAACAGCAGCTAACAGACGTTTTCGTTTTTCAGCTTTTGGTGCTGGTTTACTAGCATAATTTTGTTCAATATGTTTTGGTTTTTCATTTTTTTTGGCAAGTTTAGTATCAGCAACACGTTTAACAAATGCAGTATCAACTAAAGGTTTATTATCAGTATTAAAAACTGGTAAATCTTCACCTTTTTTAGTTTTCTTTTCTTTTTTTTGGTTTAGTTTTTGTTGAACGTTGTTGTTGTATACCTTTTATCCAAGTTTTTTGTAAACGTTTTGTTGGTTTTTTCTTTTTAATATTATTATTATTTAATTTAGTTCTTTTTGTTAAATTTATTTTTCCATTTGGTCCTACAATAACATTAAGATTTTTTTCTAATGTTGATAATTCACCTATTTGTGTTAATTCATTTTGATTATTGAATGGAAGATTTAATTTTTCAACATCATTTTTATTATGTGTACTATAATAAATTGGTAATGATTGTAAATTATTTCCATATAAATAAGCATGATTAACATTTAACCAACCACCAGGCAATTCTTTGCCAATAGTTTGACAAATTGTTTTAAGATTTTCAATTCCATGATCAATAGATTGTTTAACAGTTGTAAAATACATAGAAAAAAGTGGTCCTGTACCAGCCATACGACCATATGTTGATAAACATAATGATAATAAACGTTGTTTAAAATCTTTATTGAAAACATTAATACCTAATGGCATTTTTCCATGATAACGAAAATGTTTACCAAGTAATTGACCACGCATTAATGATGTCATTATACGTCGATCAGCAAGAAAAAGATCATAACGTGAACATAATTTTCGTTTAGCTTCATATGGAACTAATTCCTAAACGTGAAAATAGATCATATAATTATTTCGAAAGATTTTTGTCGGATATGGTGGCCTATCTTGAATCAGGTTACCATATATATGATTTTGTGAAGAAATTTGCAATGCATCGATTGATATGTAAGTGATATCCTGAAGTTCATATACTGCTTACAATCTATGAGAGCTATATATGTAGTATTCATAAACATTGTGATTCGTAGTATAAATTTATGCAAATCTTGTTTTTAAACTCAATTCAATACAGTTATAACTGCTCTTTAACAGTTTTCGTTGCTGCTTTCCTCATATTTAAAAATGGTCCCATTCCTTAGTTCTAGATTATTTCTTGATTATATGATATTCCAGTGTGCTCAACTATATGCCAAAAGAACTTCTTTCCGTTTATAAGGAAATTATTTATATCAATTCATTAGGAATGCTATGCTGATTATTGACGCATAAAAGTTTTTAATTGGACTGTTGAATATTGTTAATATACCAACCCTGGCATAGAGGAAAATAGGTCATTCTATGGATCAATCTTGCAAGTTGACAATGATTCCCTCTTGTTCCGAAAGATATTATGCAATTTTTGAGAAAGTTTCACATCGATATTCACTTGTTCTGTGGTACACAGTTGAACACAATGAAATATCATAAAGGCAACAAATAACAAGACCTAAGAAAAGAGACCATTTTTAAATTATGAAGGAAGCATTTATAACTGTATCGAATTGAGTTTAAAAACAAGATTTACATAAGTTTATCATAGGAACTATAATATTTATGAGTACCATATATATAATTCTCAAGGATTGTAACCAGTATATGAACCTTCAACACATCACTTACATATCAATCGATGCATTGCAAATCTCTCTACAAATCCACATATATGGTATCATGGTTCAAGGTAGGGCATCAAACTTGGCGAAGTTGTTTTCATTTGTTTTACTTGATTAAGTTGTTTAAGTGTCATGATGTCGACATTGAATGGAAGTCTAAACTGATCAATCATTGATTTATAACGACGTATTGTTGATTCATATTCTCGACCATTAATATCATCATCACGTACAAAAAGACACACATCACGTGTATTTTGTTGTATAAATGGATGAGGTAATTGAGATGAAAGACGAAGATAAGTACATCGAGGTATTTTATGTACGTGAAGATAAAGACTTATTGGTGTTGATTCATCTAATAATTGTTTATGACCTTGTTGAGCATTATTAATAATTTGTTTAAGAGCTATTAATGCTTTTCGACATACATCAAAATCGAATGGACATTCAGATGAATTTTTTTCTTTAGTTGAATTTTCCGGTTTTGTTTCAATAGATTTTGTTTTCATCTTAAAATATACCTAAATAAATATTAAATATTAAATATGTATATATATATATGTAAAAGTGTTTTGATAATTCATGTAGAAATAGTTCGAATGAATGAATGAAATGAAAAGAAGAATTCAAAAGGTTGATCAATATCACCAATGTAAAGAAATCTACGTTGGCCTTCACATAGAGAAAAAAATATTGGTTGATTGAAAGCGACATCTACTTGACACACTGACATTTTAGATTTCCTAGAGCAAGAATTGCCACCTTCTCAAGTAAAAAAAGAAATAACAATGCAAAAAACTATTTTTGTAGATTCTTCGCATTTCTATGGGCTTAAATAATTGCTTCTTTCCATAGCACTTCTTTATTCTCGAAATTCTAAAACATAATAATTTGTACATAAAGAAGATGGATATTTCATTAAACATATAATTTTTTGAACATAGTTACATTTATTTCAACGAATTTGTGTTTCCATAGCTATTGAATCTACTGATATTCAATCATAGAAATCATCAGACAAATGTATAATGTCGGAAAAAAATCATTTTTGATATTGGTGTTGCTGGCTGAAATAAAACATAATTTAGGCAATAATAAATTGAAGACAATAGCTATCTCAGTTTACTTAATATCAATAGATGTTATCATCTCAAATTTTTCCATAAACAAATAAACCAAAGTTTCTCACACGAAAAAAGCGGAAGAGGTGACAATCGTCTTTAGAATATAGATTTATTCAGTAAGAAATAATATTTTACATAGGACACTAGAAATGTTTTTATGCCTAGTTCACCTAAAAGCCATACATCGTTGTAATTCTTCATTTCTTTTAGAATTGTCATAGATCATTTTCAATATAAATTTTGAACTGTTACAAGAACAGTTTCGAACAATGATTTTATACGACTGAAAAATTGGCTTGACATACAATGAAAGTCGTGTTCATTTAGCGTAGGCATAGGGGATCAAGCACCTTCAGATCGTACAGTTCTCAATTGGTTTCATCAATTTCGACGTGACAATTCGAGTATTGAAGATAGTGCCTTTTCAGATCATTCTTCAACTGCTGTCAACAAAGAAACAATTGATTCAACATACGAACAGAGAGAAGACATTCTAGGCATTATCTTGTCATCGATCAATTCAATAATTCATGACCATTTGAAGTTGTGCAAAGTTTGTGTGCAATAGACGCTCTTTCCGTCGTGTATCCGATATTATTACCTGGTTCTGTCATTATGATCGGAAAACAAAAGAGCAGTCAAAATTATGAGTGTCAGAAAGCGATTCGTGTCCAACTATAGTTGATCGAAACAAAAGTAGAGGCAAATGACTGGTGGCTATTTTCTTCATGAAGTCTGGTTTAATGAAATCTATACGATTAATACCTTATGAGACAATAAATGCAAGTTGGTACGTCAACAGTTGCCTACTACGAGTCTTCTAACCTATATCAGAATGGGAACAAAAAATTGAGCTTTGAGGTCTCGTTTTCCATGACACTAATGCAAGATAACGTAGAGTCTGGATTATTAACGAATCTTCGATCAAAAATCATGTAAAATCATACCAAAACTCATGGTATTCTCCAGATCTAAGTTCGTGCGATTTCTTCTTGTTCCCTAAGCTAAAAAGAAAAATCAACTATGTGGAATTAGGTTTGATGATGATAAAAACACAATGTTGAATGCATTAGAACAAGTCGTTGAGTCTCATAAAAGGCGATTTCAAAAACTGCTTCGCTTATTGGTTTATTCGAATGTTCAAATACATTGATGCTGAGAGACAGTGCTTTGAAAAAATACATTAGAACTAGCTTATGAATATTTGTCTAGAGAACTGGCGAAAAAACTTTTCTAGTACTCCATCTATAATTCTTAAGTTTTCTTATTATCCTTTTTTAGTTAATCGAGTAATCTTACGATTTTTTAAATACTTTTTAATCGGTTTAATAAGAAATGGATGTGAGGAATCGTTGAGAATCAATGTGACTTGCTATCACAGTAGTATTGATACTAATTTAACATTGGAATATCATCATAACTAACGTATAATGTTTAATGTCAGGTGTTGATGTTTGAGTGAGGTTTTTTTGGAACTAACAGTTTAACATAGTTCAAATCAATAAAAAATTCTTAATACAATATCTTTATTTATCATGATTAACTTTAAATGTTATCATCTCAATTATTTTCTATGAATCGCATGATATTTTCATAAGACAACACATGAAGAAAAAAAAATCATATAGTAAAATATTATCTCTTCCCAGGACGACGAGAATACGAAATCAGTATACATTCAGAAACGATCGTATTTTAGTATATTATATAGCTGAGTTTTTGTGGCCATATTTCTTCGTATCGTATAGAGAGAAATATGACCATTTGCGGCAAGGTACTAAGTAAAACGGAAGTCCTATATGGACTTCGTATACGATCGAATTTCTTCATGTGATACGAAGAAATACGATCGTAATACTGAGCTATGTAATATGTCAATATACGACGAGTTACGGTCGTTTACGAGCTTGCTTTTTTGACCTAGATTTGCTTGAAGATCATATGAAAAATGTAACATAGATCTACGACATCAGATATCGGAATACGAATTTCACAAACTACATTCACCTTATAGTTTTAGTCTCATTAACACTTATTGATAACAAAAATATAGAATCAAATGATTTCTTATAATTAGATACAATAAATTTGTATAGAAAAAGAAATGACATTCTGAAGTGTTAATCTATAATTTGAATAAACTTTTTTATGTCTGATTAAATAAGATTTGATTTATTGTTTATTGAAAAAAAAAAAATAAAACTTCGTATTCCACTTGAAATTTGAGTAATTATGAAAATGAATATAGTCATCGTAAGAAAAGAACACAATCAAATTTCAATTCTTCGATATTTCAATAATCAAATCGATTAAACAGCCATCGTTACCACCTGCCAATTGATTCACAATTCAACAATGATTGTTGTTGTTTGACTGATAGTGATAGTCAAATGATCATATTCACTTTCTCTTTTGTCAGTTACATCTCTATCTATTTATCTTAAATTGATTGTTTATAAAATGAGCTTAACAGATATGCTAGTTTCAATCTCTTGAGAACGATCATCATCATTATTGATTTAAAAAACAAATGAAGAAAGAAATTATTCTCTATTAATTTATATACAAGACAAATGATCTACTTCATTTAATAATATTGATAGAATTTAATTATAGTTAAATAACATATATGTATAATACACATGCTTTCGATCATGCTGTGTAATTGATGAGAATAATCGGATAAATCATTAAAAAATATCGATGTCTACATATATATCTTCATGTATTTGATTACGTTTATATATATTCAACACTCTGTCTATGTCTGCAATGTTGATGAGGGACAGAGAGCATATACATATATACACAAGTGTTGTTGTTGTTATATGTACTATATATATATATATATATATATATAAATATAATAAAGCCTCGATAATGAAGCAATTATGGTCAGTTCTTTTTTTTTTCTGACTTTTGCTCTTTTTTCTTTCCATCTCATACAGATAATTCTTGTATTAATCGGACAGACACGATAGTTAAGATTTCTTATTCTTATTCTTTTTTCTTCTCATACTTTCTTATATTCCCAATTCGTATCCGATTGGCCTTATCCTTGCAGTATATATGTTATCAGAAACACGCACTAGCATACAGGGTGGAGAAGAAAGACGAATGATATCTAGCAGTGTATCATGCAAAGCAAAGCTAATGTCGATCATCACACATATATTCAACAAACGTTTTCTTTTTTTCTTCTCTTCTATAGAAAGACAGAAGATAATACTGTCAAAGAACAAATTCGATTACTTGATTGCTAGTTATATACTAGTCAATATTATCACAAGAGAATGGCATTTGACTTATGTGTATAATACCAACAAGGTGCTATTCGATATACTCTTGAATGTTAATCGGTGTCGCCGCTGTTTTCACAAATTCTTGTCAAACATGACACTCGTCATCAGTTTTTTTTTCTGTTTGTTTGTTTCTATTTCTTTATATCCGTGTCATTATACGACCAATGAATTAACTGTATAGAAAAAAAAAAAAAAGAAAAATTGAAGAAGAACAAAAAAAAAATGAAAAAAAGAAAAAGACAACAGAAAAAGAAAAACGTACAGACGTAAACAAAATGACGACAAATAATATATATATATATATGTATCAGTTTTATTCCATATAAATAGGTCAAGTAAATTTTCGAGCATTAGCATAAAGTGATGCAGCATAAAGTGGTGATATAAGTGGATAAGGATTTGTTGCTGAAGAATTTGTTGATGATGAACTACCGACTTGTTGTTGTTGTTGTGAATTATAAAATGAAGCAGCACAAGCAACATAAGCTGCAGCTGCAGCTGAATGCATTCCTACAGATGATGAACCAACTGACGTTGGTATTGTTGGTGAATTAACATCAAGACCAGGATTTTGTTTTTTCCATTTTGTTCGTCGATTTTGAAACCTTTGTTTTTTTTATTAAATTAGAAAAGAGATAATTTTTTTTTTGTTTTTGTAAAATAAAAAAATCATACCAAATTTTAACTTGTGTTTCTGTTAATGATAATGATAATGCAAGATTAAGTCGTTCGCAAACTGATAAATATCTTGTTTGTTTAAATTTATTTTCTAATGCAACCAATTGTTCATATGTAAATGCTGTTCGTGCTCGACGTGGTTTTGATGGTTTATCAGCGGTTGAACTTGTTGATGATTTTGATTTGTCACCATCACTTATTGATGCATTTAAATCATCATCATGTATTTTATCATCAGCTTCTGATAAACATCCATCTATACAAAAACAAAATATTTTTTTTTAAGAATTAATATTCCTAAAAAACAAAAACTAAACAATAGTTTGACTTACCAGATACATCACAATCACTTATTGAACCATGATGTTCATCATCATAATCATCATCATTATCTGAATGTGAATA